GTCAGAGAGGTTTTGAAAAAGGCAGAGTATATTGACTGGGATAGTATATCTGCTAGACTATTATATAGTGGTGCATATAGAGTTCATGACATTGAACACTTATGTCAAAAGTTTTATATCTTAACTATACAAATGTTTTCAAAGAGAACATAGAAAAATATATTGAGGGTATAGAGTTTGTGAGATGTCATTGGACAGAGTTGTATGAAAAATATAAAGACAAGGAAAATGTTTTCTTTATAGTGGACCCGCCGTTCTATAACACATGGGATTTTCAATACCAAGTAGACTGGACTTTGAGAGACTCTTTAGAAACTTTAGACGTTTTACATAACCATCCATGCTTTTACTTTACATCCGATAAAAGTGGTTTGGAAACCGTTATGAGATGGTTAGAGGACATACATGACTATGAGTTTAGATATGACAAGATAGAATATGAGAGAGGTCCTATAAACCGGAGAAAGTGTCATAACAAAGAAATTTTATTGGTAAGTAAATGTGGTTTGAAATAGGACTACTTGTTTTAGGTTTTTTCCATTGTGTCATTTACTTATTTGACGTGGCAGAAAAGTACAGAGAATATGAAGATGAACCGATGCCTGCAAATGTTCAGTATATGTACTCGTAAGAGATATTTTTATCTAATATTAAATGGACGCACAGAACTTAGCGAATGCACAGCAACCTGGACAACCAAACCCAGAGAATATTCCAAATGAAGTTAGAATACAAACTGCAATGGCAAACTATGGTCAAGTGCCAACAGATGTACAAATGCAAACTGCCATGTCAAATGACGCTGCGTTAGGTTTGCCACCATGGTATGCAAATATGAGATGGAAAGAGTTTTATACAAACCCCGAAGTGGGATATAAACAACTCTATGCAGATGACGCGAACACAGGAGTTGACCCAGAGTATGTTTTCTACCAGAGGAGAAATAGAATGTATGAGCTCCAGTTAAAGAATGCTATGGAACTCAGAAGGAAACGTAAGAGACTAGGTGGACATTAGATTTTTACATATAGTAAAATGGGTTTCTTCAGTAAGATAGGAAACTTCTTTCGAAATGTTGGAAGAGGTATATGGAATGGAATAAAATCTATCGGAAGAGGAGTATGGAACGGAGTCAAAAATATTGGTAAAAGAGTAGGTCAGTTCGTTGGTATTATACCTAAAGACCCTGAACCAGAAGAACAAGCTCCTGTTATACAACAGCCTGAACCTGCACCACAGTCAAGTTGGCAACCAAATCCAACACCTCAACCGTATTAAAATTATATTTTTACCGTTCGATAGTAGTTGTATATGAGACTAAGTTCTAAGTAAAACGCATGGTATAATGGAACTATTCTCTTTCTTCCATCTGTTGTAAACCATACTTGAAAGTCTGAAATACTTCCACTCGGTGGTTCATATAGCTTTGTAGGTTTTTCGTAAAAGTCATTTGCCAAGCATAAAAAAGAGTTTTGTGCACCAGAAAATGAAGCATGAACGATAATAGCATCTGAGTCGAAAACATTTTCATATGTTCCATTAGGGTTTTCGACTTCATAAAAGTTCGGGTGTACTGGATATTCTGCAGGCTGATTTAACATCCTCAAAAATCTATACCATGCCAAGTTGTTATATTTTGTAGAAATATAAACGTCTTCTCCAAGGTCTTCTATTCTATTGATTTTAACAGTTGCATTTTTCCTGTCATATAAAATATCGAGATGGTACTCTCCTTCGTCAATGTTGTACTGTTTTGCATATTCGAGATAGATATCGTTTATTTTTTCTTGAAAAGCTTGAAGAGTTGTTTCTAAGTTTACAAGCAAATTCACTTGTAAAAGTTTTCCCTGTTCAAATTTCTCATACGTATGTTTTTCTTTGTTATAGTATCGAATTTCAAAAGCGACCGTAAATGGGAAACCATGTATGGCTTCTGAAATGAACTTCATTCTACGAAAGCCAACAGCTTTTGTGACGGATGGGTCTCTTAGCCATCTCAATGGGTAGTCAAAACGATAGCCTTCATGCTTTACGGTCTCTGTCTCAAACTTTTGACCTACGTTAGTAAAAAGTTCATCTAATGGTTTAGTTGTAGCAACTCTAGAATTTTCTTTTTCTATTGAAAGCATATTTTATCTAGAATAAAAATGTCAAATGAAACAGCGTCTATGAGAGAAATACAACACAACCGACAACTCATTATACAAGCTCTAAATAAGAACACAACAAACTTTTCAAACTATTCTAAGATATCTGAGTCATTGAAAGAAGGAAATTTAAAACTGACGATAAACCCATTGACAGACGAGTTTCTGTTTCAAGACAGTAAGAACCATACTGTTTGTATAATCCAACAAAAGGAACTTTAAACGAGAAGCCTATAGATGAACTTCTTTTGAAAGCAGATGTTGACAACAAAGCTGACAAAGAATATGTCATTGAAAAAGTTCAAGAAGAACATGACAGAGCAGATGCAACATATGCAACAAAAGAGGATGTTGAAAAGAAAGCAGATAAAACATATGTTAACGATGAGTTAGAATGTGTGGCTAGTGCGTTAGTGAAGAAGGCAGATAAGGAATATGTGGATGAAAAAGACAATGAAATTAAAGAAAGGGTTGAATGGTATAATGAACGGACATCGAAGATTTTAAAACGAAAGCTGATACAGGATGGGTTTCAGGGTGTTAGACCTTAAAGCCGACAAAGAAACTGTAGATATGTTGGCACAAACGGTTTCAAGTCATACCAGAGGTTTAATGGAAGATGGACAACAGTTGAAAGAGCTTGAGAAAGGTGTTACAGAGTTAAGGAATACAAAAGCAGACTCGACATGGATAAAAGGATATGTAGATGCAACAAAAGAGTATATTTCACATGGACAGAAGGAACATACCCACAAAAATATCATAGACATAGCATCTCTGACGTAAATGAACTTGAAGAAAAGTTATATAAAAAAGCAGACAAAACAGAGCTTCAAACATTAAAGACAGAAATACTTCAAACATTATATCCTATAGGCTCTATTTATACGTCAATGAACTCTACCAGACCAGAAGTAGTACTTGGTTTTGGAACTTGGACTCAAATAGTCGACAGGTTTTTGTATTGTGCAAACTCTTCAAAGGAAACAGGTGGAAGTAAAAACGATTCAGGTGAAAATTTACCTGCACACAGTCACTACATAGATTTAAGTACATCTCAAGCAGGTTGGCATAAGCATAGATATTGGGATTGGTCAGGAATGACAAAAGGTAAAGGATATGATGTTAAAGACGACGTTAAGTTTGCTATAAATTGTTACTGGAGTGACACTCAGGGAGAAGGAAACCATACACATTTCGTTTCAGGGTATACACAAACAACGGACAAAGTAAAGACTACATGCCACCTTACATGACAGTTTACGCATGGTATAGAATTGCTTAGTCGTCATTTTCAACTTCTTTAGCATATTCGTCAGGAGTTGTCTTATATTTGTTAGGAACTGTCTTTGAAAGTATACCACCTTGAACTTTGACAAGTTTGAAACGAGGTCTGACAATAGTAGTTTTATCTTCTGCTTGCAGTCTGTACATTTTGCCATGTTTGCCTAAAACTTCATAATATTCTCTTGTATACTTTCTTCTATTTTTACGAACACGAATGTGAGTACCTGTCGAGTTCCCATTGTTGTCATAGTCAATAGTATTTTCATATGGGTCGCGTTTAGGTATTTCTATTTTTACTTTGTCACCTTTCTTAAGTTTGAAGCCTGGCATTCTTTCTTGTTTGTCTCTTTTGACTAAACTATTAAATATATAGTCTTTCTCTAAGTCGGGGTTGTTTTTCATTTCTTCAGGGGAGTGGTTTCCCAAACCTTTTTGTTTACGGGTATTGTAAATATTTAAAACTTGTCTCATCTTTGCCATGGAGAAGTGTCTATACTTGTCGTCATATGACATTTCATCTACCTCACCACCTTGTGGTTGGTTTAAGTCTCTTAAGATTTTTATACAACTGTCAATGACACCAAGAGCAGAATGGTTTTGGTCGACAATGAAATATTGGTTTACATTTTTTGAACGCAGATAGTTTTTTACATCGTCTGATTTGAAAGAACGTTCACAGTCAGATGTCAGTTTTGTTGGATGGTATTTGTCAACGAATATTGTCAAAGCAGTTTTCACATCTAAAATATTTTTGGACTGTAATGGTATGGCTTCACAGTATCTTGTGTTTTGACCGACAAATATTAGCCAGTATGGTGGTCCATCTGTTCTAACTCTCGGAATGTTTTCCAAGATATCCATAAACCAAGCATTTGGTGTTGAACTAAAGATTTTTACCATGAGTGCTTTCTTTGTTGCTTTAGAAACATAGGGGTCCTTGTTCGGATTCGTCATTTTTTAACCCATAAGAAATGGGTTTATTTGGCGCATTAGCAGGAGTTGCATCCAGATTTTTGCCCGCAGTGGGAACAATAGCCAGAGGTGCATTTGGAATTGGAAGGAAGATTTTGAGTACATTAGGTATACTTAAAGAGAAAGCACAACCTATTATACAAACTGTACAGAAAGGTTGGGATGTAGCACGAGATGCAGCAAATCTTATTCCAAATCCTGAAACAAGAGGAAAAGTTCAAGGATGGATGGACAATGTAGGAAGACAAGCAGGAAACTACTATAACAAAGCAAATGACTACTATAACCAAGCAGGACACTACATGGACCAAGGTGAAAGATTCTTTAACAGAGGATATAACCATGCACAACAGTGGGTAAACAACAACCAACCGCAACCGCCTCAAACGTGGGGAATGTAAATTTTTTTACTGAGATGAAATGAACAATACAGCATTGAGACAAATGGGCTCAAGATGGATTTGTCGGCTTCCAGCAGTTACACAACCACGTGTTTGTCAAGTTCTTCCTATACCTCAAGAAGTTTTAGACCGACTTAAAAAACCTAAACAACCAGTTGAAAACAAACCAAATTAAATTTTTTACTGAGATGAAATGACGGAAGAAGTTGAAACGGTAGATTTGACACCACAAACAAAAAGTTCAGAACCATTGTCAAAACCTGTCAAAGAACTTACAGATGAAGAAAAAAATTCAATAATAGAAAGTGCCAGGTCTGGAAATACAAACCCTAACTACAAAGTCACTTTTCATAGAAATGGAACGGCTAGTATCTCAAAAAAGAAACAGACTCTCACAAATAAAATATTGAAGTCTGAAGGAGCTTTCGAGACAACAGATGGGAAGGTATACTTCACCGACCAACAGTTCATTATAGAACATCTCATTGACTTAGAGTCGAAATATTCTAAACTTTACAACAAACACAAAAAGTTGAAAGGAAAACAAAAACAAATGGCATATGATATTTACGAAGATGTTGACGACACAACTGTTCCAGCAAGTGAGGTAAAGTCAGAGGAACCGAAAAGTGACGAAAAACCAATAGAAGAAGGTGAGCCAAAAACTGAAGATAAACCAAAACCAAAGTTTAGTCTCCAGACTAAACCAAGTCAACCTTCATTAGCTGGTATGGGTTGGCGTCAAAGACTTCTGGTAGCTGGTGGTTATGTTAAGTAAAGGAAAAAACATTTTTCAAAAAAAATATTTTTTTATTTTATTTGAAATGTACGCTGAGTTTGTTGGAACAGACCGTTGGGAAACTTGTTTGTTAGATGAGAATATGAAATTCACTGTTGTGAGTCATTTGAAGTCAGAAACAAAAAGACAAAAAGAGTTTTAAGCGGATGGGAGCGAAATGACGGATATGCTAATATGAAGATGAGTGGAAAAAACTATTTTAAACATGTTGTCATTGCAACTCATTTTATACCGAACCCTAACAATTTACCTTTTGTAGACCATATAAACCATATAAGAAACGACAATAGACTTGAAAACTTGCGTTGGGTCACTTGTTCTGAAAACAATAAGAACATAGGCAAATTTCGAGATATTGTATTCGAATTTGTCGACGAACTAGAAGATGAAGCAATTGAAATTACAGACTATGGCGAGCATACGTTTGAGTTTTACTACTATAGCGAAGAACAAGACTCTTTCTACTTTTATACCGGCGTAAACTATAGGAAATTACAAGTATGTTTTACTAAGGCGGGCTATGCTCATGTAAACGCTAGAGATACAGATGGAAAATACGTTCAAATACATCTTAACAAATTCAAGAAGCTATATGGCATACCATTTTAAAACGTTTTTAAAACAGTATATTTTTACATATATTAAATGCTTCAGGTTGAAAAACAAAGAACAAAAGTAGCAGATACAAAACCGTTAGACTATATCTTTACAAATACTGGTAGGACAATTTCAGATGAAGAAATTTCATCCGGTGCTTACAGATTTGACAGTTTATAGAAACGTGTTTGACCCTCAAAATGTTATGTGTCATGCAAGTTTCAGTTCAAGCAACAACAGTTTTCTGTGTATCGGTAAGGACTTTTATGACTTTGCTTCTAAATTCTACGAACCACCTAGTAACAGTTTCTCTGACTTTCAAGTTTGGTTCACAACAAACGGTGTGCAGCATATTATACCATTATACTACGACTTTTATCTCGAATTGTCTTTCATATACAACTACGGAAAAGTGCTGAAAAAGTATTGAAAAAAGAGGTGGAGCCAAAAATGGCTCGACCTCAAAACAAGCATTTTGTGAAGAATATACCAACCCGCGGAATTCCGCGGGGTGCTTTTTATACAAAATTCAACAGGTGAATTTTCATGAATTTCCTTAAGATAGAAAAAGTGAGTTAAAATGAGATTTTTATCGTTGTGGTCCGACGGTTAAGCCACAAACGAATGTCCGACGGTTAAGCCACAAACGAATGTCCGACGTCCCACCAAAAAATATTTTTTTATTTTTATTGTAAGAACAGAAATGTCAGTCGAAGCAAAAACGTTCACGAACAAATCTAATGGCGAAACATTCACAAAAGGCACTTACAACGGTATTGAAGTCTTACGTAGAGACAAGGATGGTTATATAAATGCAACAAAGATGTGTCAGCAGTTTAGGAAAGACTTTAGAAGGTTGTTGGAAAATAAGTCCTGGGAAGAGTATTATACGGCATTTTGTGAAGAATATACCAACCCGCGGAATTCCGCGGGTTGCTTTTTATATAAAATTCATGCAGGAATTCCGGATGAAATCAAACAGGTTAGAGGAATGTATGTAGACCCAAGACTCGTAAACTATATAGCAATGTGGGCTTCTCCAAAAATTGTATAGCAGTTGGAAAAATTCTGGACTTCATAGACAAGAAAGTTCATGAGAAATTAGATGAAGAAGAACTTGAAGATACAGTAGAGAATGCAAAACCTTTGTTCGAAGAAGAAGTTAGAAAAATGCATGAAAAACAAATAGAACATGAACGTGAGATATGTTCTGGTTATAGAGATTCTCCATACGAACTAGACCAATGGGAACAAGAAGATTTAAAGAGAGAATTTAGAGAATATGAACTCGCTAAGATAACATTAGAAGCTGCAGAAAAGAAGTTAAAAGTTTGGGGTCGTTTTGTACAAAAATATTGTGAGTAAATGAACCATTTTATTTCGACAAAAATATATTTTAGGGTAGATGGTTAGATCTAACCTGTCTTCTACCCTCTTTTCTACCCTCTTGAATTTTCATGAATTTCATCGTAAATGTTTTGTCATGATTTCATCGTAAATGTTTTGTCAAGACTTCTTCGTACATGTTTTCTAACCTCATGAGTTTTCCCGAAATAAAAAATAAAGTTGGTTTTTTTAAAAAAATATTTTTTATTTTTATTGTAAGAACATGTTAGCAACAACAGCACCAAACTCGTTAGTCATGAACCCAACTTCAATGTTAGTAGAGATGAAAAGCTTCATTCCTTCTTCATATACTTTCGAAACAGAAATCCAGAAGATAAAGCAAGAACTTTTAACATCTAATTTAAACTGTACCGCACAGGATGAAACAAATGAACAGTATCTTTATGAAATGCAGGATATTATTGACCATCTACCTAAACTTCCTGAAATCCAACAACAAAAGCTTACTATTCCAGAATTCGATGAAATAGAAGTCAAAGCAACTGACTCAGTAGAAATAAAGAAGTTCATACGAAAGGTTAACTATGAGTTTCTTGGATTTCATTGCAACCACAAAGTCATGGACAAAGATTGCGATATGGTATATAAGAACATCTCTGACATATACAAATCTGGGGAGTTTAAGACCTACGACAACTTTGTTTCGTTAGTTGCAAAATGTGTATGGCAGATAAGAGATAAAGATAGAAGAGGTAAGATATGGAATGAACAGATAAAACCAGCAACTTTTGAGTTAAAGAGAGCAATTGACGCCTTAGTCATACTAGCAGGTAAGGTTTCAGAATATAACGCAAAAAATGAACCCACAATGTTCTAAATGTAAAGCAGCAATGAGGAAATATAACTACTCCGTCAAAGAGATAGAACGTATGCGAAACGACTATGCTGACTTAAAGAGGGAGGCAGAGAAACCAGCAGAAGATAAAATGGACATGTTGACATTTCTAAACAAAAACTATCCAACAGCTGACGATTTCCTTCTTTCAGATGTCAAGAAGAAATATAAAGAAACTTTCGGCATTGTGAAAACATTCGATATCCTTCGTGAAGAAATAGAAGCTACAAAACTGTTTAGAATTTCACGAATTCACAATGTTTACCATGTAAAACGCTTATAAAATAACTGGGGTAGAAAAGAGGGTAGAAGACAGGTTAGATCTAACCTTCTACCCTAAAATATATTTTTGTCTGATTTACGCTCATTTACGAAGAAGTCTTGACAAAACATTTACGAAGAAGTCTTGACAAAACATATACGAAGAAGTCTTGACAAAACATTTACGAAGAAGTCTTGACAAAACATATACGAAGAAGTCTTGACAAAACATTTACGAAGAAGTCTTGACAAAACATATACGAAGAAGTCTTGACAAAACATTTACGAAGAAATCTTGACAAAACATTTACGAAGAAGTCTTTTTCCTGTGTTGTTGTCAAAATGTCATGTTGTCACTATTTTCAAAAAGATGTTAGTTGACCGAGGGACCTGGTTCCACCTAAAATATATTTTTGCTGAAAAAAATGACCAAATTTCATGATATAACTGTATTTTTTTGACGAAGAGAACTTTTACACTTCGTAAAAAAAATCCCTGAAATCGTGAAAAAATGACCAAATTTCATGATATAACTGTATTTTTTTGACGAAGTGAACTTTTACTCTTCGTAAAAAAACTCTATGAAAACAGTGAAAAAATGACCAAATTTCATGAATTTCCTCATATGTTTGCTACCCTCGGAAAACCGAGGGTAGAGATTCCGTACGAAAATCGTAAAAAAACTCTATGAAAATCGTGAAAAAATGCGACCCTCGGAAAACCGAGGGACGCCTAAAACACATGAAAATCGTGAAAAAACTCTATGAAAATCGTGAAAAAATGCGACCCCGACTTTTACAGGGGTCGCCAAAACTCTATGAAAACAGTGAAAAAACTCATGAAAATCATGAAAAATTGCGAGTACGTAAGAAAACGTAGTCGCCTAAAACACATGAAAACAGTGAAAAAATGACCAAATTTCATGATATAACTGTATTTTTTTGACGAAGTGAACTTTGACACTTCGTAAAAAAACTCTATGAAATCATATCTTTTATACAAGATAGAAAAAAAAGTTAGTTTTTATTTTTTTTATTTTTTTATTTTGTATGTAAGAACAGGAAATGACAAGCACTGAGTTTGAAACAGTTAAAAGGATAGACAATGAGACCAAAGTGGTTAGAATAGGTGATTTAAACGTAAGATACTCAAAGAAATACAAAAAATATTCTTTGTCAGACATTTTAACACTATCTGAAGGAAAGAAAGCACACGACTGGGTTAAAAATGCTTCAACTCAGAAAATTTTGACAAAAAATCCTGAGCTTATGATATCGGTAAGATTCTATGGAACAAGAGCATATCTCATCGACAAAAGTCTTATACCAGTAGTTTTGTTCTGGATTGACCCAGTTGTTGGATATAATTTCATAACATATGGTTCATTCGATACGGAACGTTGCAGTGAAGGCTTACTTTACATCGTTCAGAAACCGAAGGACTTCAATACAAAGAGATATAAGATAGGAAGAACATTTAATATAACTCAAAGATATGACAGTATAGTCAATAGAGTCAAGGTTGCGTTTGTTAACGATATGAGAGCTGCTGAAACAGAACTACTTGAAAAGTTTGAGAAAATGTATGGTGCTCCCACGAGAGGTAAAGAAACGTTTGAAGTAGATGAGATCGACAAAGCTATAAAAGTATTTGACGAAGTTGCTGAAAAATACATGTAAAGCGTTTATTTTTGGTCTTTTATACAAGATAGAAAATAACGCTAATTTTATTTTTATTTTATTTTTTATTTTGTATGTAAGAACAGAAATGTCAACAACAGAGAACACAACAACTGCTATCGTTCATGAAGCCATAAGTGAAGAATACGAGTGGGTTCAGTTTAACAAACAGTTACGTCTCATTCGTTCAGTCAAAGATGACATGTACCAAATGCAAAGTATTTTGACAGCATGTTTTTGCTCCAGATACTAAACACGCAGACGACTGGTTCAAAAACCAAAGCACACAAGAACTTTTGAGTGAAATTTCTCTAGACCGAGAATTCTCGGCCTTGCATAAAACACATGAAAATCGTAAAAATTTGGCTCCTGGTTTGAGAGGTTGGTATGTTCATAGACTTCTTGTAAATGCTGTTGCAATGTGGGCTTCGCCTCGTTATGCTTGGTATATTTACAGACTTCTTGACGAAATTCATAGACAAGAACGTGAAGAGATGGAAAAGAAACTTCAAGCAAAAGATGAAGTCATTGAAGCAAAAGACAAAAACATACAGAAAAGAATACCACGTTCGGTACCAAAAGGAAAGGAAAAGAACTATAAGTATATGATTTACACTGAAGAGATGGAAAATGAAGAAGACAGAGATATGGTTATGTTGCGTTTAGTCAGAAGAAACAACAAAAGCTTTTACGACCTTGCTAAGATTTACAAATCTGACAGAAATTGGTTCTATCGCGAAAACTTACCGATTTCAATGACACCGAATGAAGATGTTAAACAGATAGTTCAAGATACGTTACCTCAAACACACTATGATATGAAAGGTTGTACAATACTTACATTCAAAGAAGATTTACCGCTACTGAAGGAAAAGATAACAGAGTATTTCGATAACTTCAAAGAGGAAGAGTAAATGAACCATTTATTTTTCAAGCTTGACTTCAGATGGCTCAGGTAGCTCTATAAGGTAAATTGTCTTGTCAAATCCTTCTGGCATTCCGAGTCCTTCCTTCCAACAGGAAAAGTCCTTCCTTCCAACAGGAAAAGTCCTTCCTTCCAACAGGAAAAGTTTTTCTTTCCAACAGGAAAAGTTTTTCTTTCCAACAGGAAAAGTTTTTCTTTCCAACAGGAAAAATTTTTTCTGTTGTTCGTCCGTAAACCATTCAAATTTTCGAAAATTGAGAACTTTTTGGTCGACCTTCAGAAAAAGTTTTTCCTTCCGACAGGAAAAGTTTTTCTTTCCGACAGGAAAAGTTTTTCTTTCCGACAGAAAAAGTCCTTCCTTCCGACAGGAAAAGTCCTTCCATCCGACAAGACACAAACGAATGTCCGACGTACCACCAACCGAGTCCATTCCAAAGCCAGAAGAACCGACAGCCCCAGCACCACAACAGACTTACTAAGACTAAACATTTATTTTTATTGACTTTTTACAATTTGAACTTTGTTCGCGTAGATATGAATTCTGAAAGAAGTATGAGGGTCTTGTATGACTTTGTACTTCTCCCATAGTTCATGTCTGTCAAACTTACCTGCCATGGACTCTTTCATAAGTTCCATGAAATCGTCTTCGGACAATCCAGGGAAAAGTATGATATCAGTAAGTATTCTTTTAACATCCTTACTTAAACTCTTTGCTGTCTGTACACAAATGACAACTGAGATGTTAAAGTGTCTGAGCTTCTTAAGAATTCGACACATATCTTGTTCTCTGTTCTTTAACAAAGGATGAGAAGCAAAGTCATCTAAGATAAGAAGACATCTGTGAGGGTAAGTCTTCCAATCGTAAGATTGCAATTTCTTCGAAATGTATTCTATCTCTTTCTGTTTGTTTCTGAAGTGTTTCTTCTCTAATATTCTCTGCATTTCCTCATTTGGGTCTTTAAACTTAGAATTGACATACTCATTTATAGCATTGTACTTCAAAACTCTTCTTTGGTACTTCTTTATCCAATCTAACAACTCAGAGTCTTTTATACATACTAACTTAGACTTTTTATAATATCTTTGAACGAATTGACGGTTTGGTCAAATTGACCAGAAGTACTACAAATGACTACTAACTCATAGAATGGGTTCTTCTCATCTAGTTCTTGTTGTTTGTGCAGCCATTTTAAGATAAGTGAAAGTCTTACCCGACCCAGGTGGTGCGATTAGACCTGTTATACCATTCTGAGCAAATAAGAACTTGTCATGTATAGGCTTTATCTGAGCATTTTCTAACTTCCTCTTGTTCTTGTTTAAAACATTCTCAAATTTCTTGTCAATGTCAGCAAACTTTTTTTCTAACATATTTTTAGAAAAATTAAAATTTTTATCTTTTTGAAAATGTCTAGCGATTTCGCTATCTATATTCGAGACAAACTTTTCGACAGCAAAACATCTGTAGACCATAAAATCTTACATAGTGTAAACAAGAAAGGGGAATTTGTTCTAAAGTTCTGTTTCTGGGAATATGACAAGAACCATAAAACATTAAGCAGAGCAGTCTTAAAATTTGTCAATGACAGACTTGTTGACAGAGATGACGCCGATTGGAAAGCTGAAGTCCAACAAAAGTTCTTAGAATGCAAAGAAGACACATGCGCTGTTCTTGAAGATGAAATAGAAAACAGAATAGAAGAGCTATTAAAGGACAAAGACTTTTACAAAAATATGGTTCTGAGAAGTTTGACATAACTCCACCAGAGAAGAAGAAGAAGAGAGAGAAGAAAGAAAAGAAAGTAGAAGAAGAGAAGAAAGAACCTGAACCAGAGAAAAAGAAATTTGACATGTAAAAATAAAATTTTATTTTTAGAACATTTCTGGGTCAATGTCAATGTTCTCTTCCTCTTTAGGAGCAAACACTGGTTTAGACTCTAAAATCTTTTTACCCAATTTACCTTGAACTTCAACTATCTTAGACTCATAATATTCATAGTCGTCTGCTTTCTTTGGTTCATAAGGTATAACAAGTTTGTATGCTTTGCCTTCTTCGAGTTTTGAGAACTTTCTGTCAAAATTTTCTTTGACTGCTAACAAACCTTCTATGTCTAAGTCTTCAAATTTCGCACCATTTTTAGTCACAATAGCAAACTTAACTGGTTCGATGTTCCAAACTTTGTCAAATGTAGACTTTTCAAAATGGTAGAAGTAAACATTCAAATAAGCGAATGGGTCTAGTTCTTCTTTGACTTCTGTCATGTACTTGTTTACTGAGATGAATTTTGCCATCTTTTCTATCGGATAAAAAAATATTTTTTTAAAATTTACTCAGAAAAATTTTTCTTTGTATATACGCCGTTCTGAACATCTAAAAGATTTTTGACATTTGCCAAGAATGTTCGTTTAGACGCTGTCATATAACCATACTCTTGGCAATATTGTTTATATTCATCGTACAATGACCTTTCATCTAAACACTCAAAGTTAGTCTCATCTATAAACAGTTCATAAACACTCTTGTTTGCTTCTAACAATGTTTGTCTTTCTTCGGTATGTGGAATTTGTCTTGGATTGAACTTTGAAATATCTAATGTCATGAAATATGAGAACAAGTGGTTGTAAAAGTCAGATGTCAAAGTTTCTGACAAGCGTCAAAATATTCTGTATCTTGCATATGAGAATCTGACGTTCTGACAACTACATATCTTCTGTCAGAACTTTCTAACTTCATCGGAACAACATTGTTTGAAACCATGACGAAGTTTGCAACATTTTCACAAACTCTTTGGTCTTTATATTTTCTTTCAACAACTCCAACTTTGTCTGTTATAAGACTCTTCAAAGCATCTGAGTTCAAAACTTTTGTTGTATCTATACTTTGAAGTTCGTTACATACTATAAGTTTCATATTCTCTATTGAAGAGTTAAATTTACCGCAGATGTTTTCTAAGTTTGTCATATTAGGGTTCGAATAGCCCTCTAACAGTTTGCACAAAATATCTGTAAAGAAAGTGTTCTTACCTGTTCCTTGTTTTCCAATTATGATGAGAGCAGTTTCATTTTTAGCACTTGGATGTTGTAAGATGTTTGCAAACCAACATAAGATATACTCATAGACTCTTTCGTTTCCATTGCATATAATTTCTTTGACATGGTCTAACCAAGCTTCTATAACATTTTCTTTCCATTCTACTTGTTCGTATTTATATCCAGTGAAGATAGAATAGAAGTTTGGAGATGGTGTATAAAACTTTATACCTCGAACTGAAAAATCTTCAAGTTTTGACAATAAGATATCCCAAGCATCTAACATCTTCATGCCAACTTGTACGACTTTTATTTTCTTAAGTTTCTGTCTACATTCTTGTTCAGACACTATTGTTGCTCTTGGTTTGTTAAAGACAACATCCCATTCTTTCATGACATAACATTCTGGGGCAGAGTCAACATAAATGACTAAACGTTTCAAATTCTCGACTGCTTTGTTATAGTCTCGAAATGGACACATATTTCTGAATGCTTGGAAGTCATAAAAATCTGAAACATCTATTCTGTACATTTTTATAAAAATAAAAAAAATATTTTTTTTATTCTTGACTTTGTTGTTCCATTTGTTGCATTTGTTGTTCTTGAGCTATTTGTTGTTGAAGTTGTTCTTGTAGTACAATACTTTCACCAGTTGCATCTTCCAATTCGAAACTTTCTGCCGTCATTGACAAATACATAGGACATAAAAGTTTTACAGGAACAAAGTTTGCGTCAACTAAGGTTAAGTTTATGTTTGCTAAAGTGTTTGAGTTTACTAAAGCTGAAAACTCTGCATTCGAATGAACAATAGGCAAACCAGCAGAGAAAGTGTTGTTTATACGCATGAGTATCTTTTGGTCATAGTAGTTTCTGTCGACATTCGAATAGCACTTTGAACCTAAGTTTGAAACAATATATAAAATAGGTGTACTTAAAGTCAATGGAACAGACATTCCTTGTATGACACCTTTTCCTGTTATAGGAAACTGTTGGTAGTAAAAACCAGATATAAGTTTTGTATTATAGCTCATATCGTTTATACTAAACTCAGTCGGACATCCAAACATAATGAAACCTGCTCTAGTTGCAGCACATGTTACATCCGTCCTTAAAGTATTAAATAAGTCAACAAAACCTGTTGGTGGTATATCTGAGTAAGTATCTTCAAAGAAGTATTTTTTACCATTCACAACAACAAAGTCTTCTGGTGTCAAAAGAGCAAAACAGGCTTTAGTCGTCATCGTGTTTAAGGTCAGTTTACAATATCGTCCTTGAGGACTTTGTAAGTTTGTTGTTATAGAATTATATGACTCAGGGTTTTTAGTCGTAATAGTATAAACCACTATGTCTTCTGCCATTTTTACTTAGCAAGTAAATTTTAATGAAATGTTGTGGTCGTCAAATATTTTTATGACGTCTGGGAAACTATATTTTAAGTTCAACGTTTCACCTCCTTTCATAACGTATATCTTGTCAATGACATTGTATGAAACACCACAGCAACTAATGTCGGGTTCTATTTCTTTGATGTTTATATCGTCTGCCTCTGTCAAAAGTTTCAATAGTTCTTTCAAAATTTCATGAGGTGCGATGACATATGAGTTCACTTTTACAGGGTTGTGCTCAACCAAGTTTAACATTAGACCTAAAGCTTGACAAATCTTCTCCTGAGTTTTAAGCTTATCTTTCAGTTGCATGTAGTCGTTTCGAATATCTGCAACAGAACTTAAGTCTCTGCTAACTTCAGGATATGTTGGTTGTTCTTTTACAGGAACTATTGTTATACCATCTTCGTCTTCGTATGGTTTCCCCACTTCAACATCTCTGTCTTTGACATTGACAACAACACTTTGACTGTTTGTTTGAGTTGGTGAATTTAACTTCACATCTGCCATCGCCATTAAACCTTTTGAAACACTTACGCTTCTATTTTTCGGAAATGACATTTTACTTAGAATAAAAAGATGGACGTATTCGAGTATCTCTTCGAATTGAAGCAGAACAAAGTTTACACACACAAACAATACAAGTTCATTGACAGAGTAGTTCTTTACACAAACAATGGAAAATGTTATAGAATAGCAGTCTTTGCTGAACCAAAATATTTTCATAAAGCAAAGAAAGTTGGTATAACCGAGATGGTGAAAGTTCTTGACGTTGACAAAAATATAACAACAAAACTTACAGATATTTCTAAAGGAAAGTTTTTAATACAATACTATGTTAAGACTGGCGTACTGTCAATATTTGACGGAGAGAAGTCAGTTCAAGAACAACTTACTGACCTGCTGCCAAAATCTGCTCGATGGAAGCTGTCGTTATACCAATCTGAGGAGCCCCAGCAGGTTTCATCGAACGAATTTCAAAAGAGCATCTTCCGTGAAAAGTGCTATTGGTTTTGTAAACTTCTTTGCTTTCAATTCATCTGGACCGTCTCTGTCACCAGTATATTGTATTTGAACTGTACCAACAGTTGAAATACCACCCATAAAGTCTTCTGAGTCAGCAAATGGAATGCCAAGCCAAAAGTTTGAACGGTCTCCATTTGTATATTGAGTTTTTTGAGCTCCTGTATGAGTCCATACTTTCACATATGGCATAATAGAACTTTGCATTTCAGGGTTAATGGTTGTTGTGAAGTTGTTGTTAAAGTTCATAGCATCTAATGTCAAGTTGTATGACCTCATATCCTCAACTGTAGAATATTCTTCTCTTGGATAATATTTGCCATCTATGTTTATATGATATTTAATACCGGGGTTGTAGAAACAAGAATAGTCATTTATAGTTCGTCTGAACAGTACAAACATAGTATCTGCATGTTTCATTGCAGTTGTTAAGGCAATATCTGTTTCTTGCACCTGGGTCAGCACTTTGGTTTCCAACTTCACCTGCAAAGTCTTTGACAGATATTTGGTGTATAGGGAACATAAGTGGAACTGCAATATATTTGGCAGCTAAAGCATTTGAAATATCTGGGTCCAACATATAGACTGCAAGTCTGCTTTCTATTCTCTTGCATTCAAATTTTTCGCATGTGAACTTAACTGGGTCCCAAGCAGTTCCAGCAGCATTGAAATAATAGTTTACTTCAGTGTTGAGGTTTGAGAAACCAAAGTCTAAGTCAACTTTGTCTTTGCAAAAGTCGGCGAATGACGTTTTATTTGTTCCCACTACTTCTGTAAGAGTGAATGGGTCTTGTGTTGGTGCAATGACTAAGTTATTTTTTTGCTTGGAGTAAGTTCAATAGAAATTTTTTCCTGCCCAGTTTGGCAAGTATCTTAAAAACCTGAAGATGAGGAAAGATGACAAAGGAACTCTAAGTTTCAGTTTTACTTTAGTGACAGCATTTCCATCTGAACCAGAAAGGTTAACATAAACTCCTGGAACGTTAGGGTCAAGTCTTCTTATTTTTCTCAATAGTTGCATACTGGTCTGTTTGTTCTCTAGCTTGTGGTTGTACTGAGTTTCTCAAAGCGAACCATTCATAGTTTGCCCATGTTACTGTTTTGAACTAAGTCAGAGTTAGAATATATCTTATATCCCATGAAAACTTCTGGAGCATATTGGTATCCGACATAGAAAATTCCATTGCAACCTTTCTTGTCAGACAACTTGGCAGAAGGTTTTATTTCAATGTCTTGTTCCACGTATAAGAAAGAGTTGTCAATAGAAATAATATGAAACCTGTCGCATGCAATATCTACTGTTGTTGAAGAACCTTCTCCAAACTCACCTACGTTTCCATAAGAACAGCAGTTGTATATTCGTAAGTTCCAGGAACTATTTCTGACCTTCTAATGGCATTGTCGCATTCGTTATACCATTCGGAAACATTTCCATTCATGGCATCCCAAAACTGTTGGCGTTATATTCTGAGCGGCGTACATTTCATATGAGTAAAAATATAGAATAGTTGGATTTATATGTCATAATAGAACCACGTGGACCAAGCTTTACTTTCTTCCTGACTGAGTTTTTAACTCTTCTTTTTCCTTCATTGCCCTCTGCTTGAAGTTGTTGCATCTTTGCATTATGTTCATCTAGTATGTTGTAAATTTCCCATGTCCTTTTTGCCTTTGGGCTCTGGTCGCCCATCTCAGGTAACCTATATCCTAGAAAGAGTTTGTCATAGTCTGTATTTGAGTCTTCGCGTATTGTTTGCATGACTCTGTCCTGAGTTTCCGGTTCAAGCTCTTCAAACAGTGCCTGTCCATATGGAATAAGCTCGTTTCCAAATATATGTTTTTGTAGCCATTCTGGTTTTCTTTCCATGTTACAACAATATCTTTTGTGAATGGGAAAGCTTTTACCCAATGTTTCAGTCTTGCGTCGTTTATTTCTTAGTTGGTTTTATTTTGTCAAGGAACATGTTTTTCAATACTAACATTTCATTTGGTACTGTCCATTTGAGTTTTCTTAAATATTCATCCCCTCTCGGTTCATTGTCTGCAAAGTAAGTTTTTATGACATTTTGTAAACTTTCGTTTGCAAGGTCATGTACAATAGGTTCTCTTCCTTCTCTCTCCCTAACTTTCTTTCTAAACTCTTCACCAAATATACCATCTCTATGGTTCTGTGTAGTTCTTTGAGATAAATGTTCTAGAACGTCAGGTGTTATATTTCCATCAGCCATGTTCATTTCATACTGGTCCAAAATATCTGCATGTTTCATATCTTTCAATGGCATTAAAGCCGCGCTGAAAATACCAGCTATATCTGGTTCACCATTGACTTCCATTGCGTCTACAAACTTCTTGGAATTGTGGTTGTAAGTTTATGAACCACCTATCCGGGTTAGCTTTATGACCCCATCTCATTGTAGTTCCATCGTCTGCAGAAACAAAAGTAGGTTTGTTTCCATCTTGGCTAGGTTCTGAATGAACTTTAAACAATGTTTCATTTCTATATGTTTTCTTGAAATTTAACCTTTTATCTTCACCGAGTTCATCCGAAGATTGAACGTTAAATGCTCGTAAGTAAAAAGGGTTGTTGTATTTGTGTACATTTTCTTTCAGTGCTTCCATTCTATGCTGAATATTTTCATCTGATTTGGAGTCTTTTGTATGTCGGCAAACATTTTTCGATATTCTTCTACTATGTCAGCCGAATCTTTCTTAGACTCTTGGAAAGATTCCATATTCACCTCATGCTCTTGTTGAGGGTCAAGATTTTTCGGCTGTTCCAAATCTTCATCTAGTTCTGTGAAGTTAGTTTCCAAAGGAAGGACTTGTTCGTTTCCTTCAGGCTCTTCTAGCTGTTTGTTGCTGAACTATTTCTTCCATGTCTGGTTGTATCTGAACTTCTTCCTGTGGAGTTTCTTGTACCTCATCTGCTGGCATTTCATATATTCCGAGACCGTTTTCAACAATTTCCCTATCTACGTCATCCGCATTCATAAGCTTTTGTTCTTTCGTTCCGTCTCTATTTTTTACGCGTTTCATGACGAAAGTTGAATTGTCATTTAGCTCTGACATCAAATATCTCGGAGTAAATTCATCCATGTCATTTGGATGATATGCTATTAAATCATATCCCTTAGCGAGCTTGTATTTTCCAGGTTTGAGATTATATCCGTTTTGGTGCTGAGCCATAAGCTAAATAGGTTCGGGTCAGTATTTCCATCCTTGAACTTTCCAATAGCTTCTTTATATATCTGTCACTAAAGTCAACAGTATCTGGGAAACCACACTCTTCTTTAAGCATTTTTAAGAATTCTTGGTTTCCTTGTTCTCTACTTCTTTTATGTCCTTGCTCTGGTTGTGGAGGTGGTTGTTGTGCAGGGTTTTGAACTGTTGGTTGTTGTGCAGGGTTTTTGAACTGTTGGTTGTTGTGTTGGTTTTGGTGCATGCCTGTGTCTGTGTCCATGTGACGATGTAAATGTGTTAGGTAGTCCTGGTGCAGGTGCTTCTCTTGGAGGGTTTGGTGGTATATAAGTTCCACCAGCTGGCACATATGTTCCATCTGCAGCGTAATGTCCTACCTGACTTTTCGTTCTTAAGAAAGCATTTACTAGGTCTGTTTTGGTCTGTTGTAACTCTTTTTCTTGACTTTTCACAACAGTTGCTCTAACGGCGTCATAGGCACTTTGAACTGCCTGTCTCGTTGCTGCATCTGTTATTTTCGTCATATTTTGTGCTACTTCTTTTAAACTCTTTGTCGAAACCTTCAGACTTCAGTTTCTTTCCAGATGAGAAGTCGTTCACTTGTTTCACCTTACTATGAAGAGCTTCGAAGGCGTTTCTTAAAGTCAGCATTTGTTAAAGCTTCATTTGAACTGTCTTCATCCGCTTGTATTTTTGTCCTTATTGACCCTATGAGTTGGGCTGCTTTAGCGTTGGCTTGGGCATCTAACCAGTCATTGTTAGCTTTTATATATTCTTGCGCTTTTCATTGCCTTTTGCATGGCTGCGTCGTTATTTTTTACTTTCTTGTGCTAAGTTTTCATACTGTACGGTTGGTTTTGCAACTGTAAAAGTTTTTCTGCCTTTACATTTGCTTCAACTTCTTTTTTTATACTCATCGCTATCCATATATGTCTTCAGGGCTTTTTGTTTTATTTCTTCATCTTTCAGTACTTTATATTGAGTAGTATGGTTTTTCAAATTTACAACATCTTGTTCCATTTTTGCTACTTCTGCTGCTTTTTCTGACACTTTTTTCGCATATTCCTCTGTACTTAGTTCTTTCAGTTGTTCTTCTTTCTTCTTTTTCTCTACGTTTAACTCATTGAGTTTCTTTGTGTGTCTGTCATATTCTAGTTTCTTTTCGTTTTCACTTATTTGCTTCTGTATGTCTATGTTTGACTTTTTGACATCTGTTATTGATTTTTGAGTGAACTCAAATTCATTTGACTTTGAGGGTTATAGGCTGTTCCGTCTGCAGCTCCACCATAGCCTGCCATTTTCGCTAAAAGTGCCGCTCTTAAACCTCCACTCTGTGCACCAAGAACTCGGTTTAAAAGCATAGGATTGCTTGACATTTGTTGCAAACATAGTGGGGTCATTCAGCATTTGTTGTTGCAACTGTTGTTGTGGTGTCAGTCTTACTATTGGATGTTTTCAATGCTCTCTTCCTCTTACGTATATTCTTACGTAGCTTACGTGGCATTTTAAGTGAAGTTAAAAAGCGGCTTTTGACAGATGTTTATATGACACTTTTGTTCAGCACAAAAAACTACTCGGTCAAAGTGTTGTCAGTTTTGTAAAATAACCGTCCTATCTTGTTTTAAAAGGGAGAAAAGGCTTCTCAAAGTATACTTCCTTGGAACGCCCGTAACTTTTCCTGTAGCGACGATAGACCCTTACTTGTCCGGATAAAGTTATACTATTTTGAGTGCTCTACAAAAAAGTCAACGGCTGGTCGGCTGGGGTTCGGTCCTCCTCTTGGGTCTTGGGCAAAATTTCTTAGGGCTAGAAAGGGGCGCCCCCTGGAAGCCCCACTACCTTTTTTTTTTTTTTTTTTTTTTTTTTTTTTTTTTTTTTTTTTTGATAAGTTTTTGGCACGATCAAATATAACATATAATTATTATTGCAGATTAAAAAAAAAAAAAAAAAAAAAAAAAGGGAGTGGGGCTTCCAGGCACTTCGTGCCTTCTAGCCCTGAGGATGATTGGTATAATGAAGTTTTTTTTTTTCTTGGGGTGGCCTTCCAGGCACTTCGTGCCTTCTAGCCCACATAAATGAAGTTTTTATTCGGAGGGCTTCCAGGAGCTTTTCACAAATTATATATGTTTTCATGTTTTGTCAAGACTTCTTCGTAAATGTTTTGTCATGATTTCATTGTATATGTTTTGTCATGATTTCATCGTAATGAGCGTAAATGACCCAAAAATAATGTTTATGTTAGAATGTTAGATCTAACACGTTTTCTAACATTTTTCAACATCGTAGAAAACTCATGATTTCATCGTAAATGTTTTGTCAAGACTTCTTCATCGTAAATGTTTTTAACTTCACTTAAAATGCCACGTAAGCTACGTAAGAATATACGTAAGAGGAAGAGAGCATTGAAACATCCAATAGTAAGACTGACACCACAACAACAGTTGCAACAACAAATGCTGAATGACCCCACTATGTTGCAACAAATGTCAAGCAATCCTATGCTTTTAAACCGAGTTCTTGGTGCACAGAGTGGAGGTTTAAGAGCGGCACTTTTAGCGAAAATGGCAGGCTATGGTGGAGCTGCAGACGGAACAGCTTATAACCCTCAAAGTCAAATGAATTTGAGTTCACTCAAAAATCAAATAACAGATGTCAAAAAGTCAAAACATAGACATACAGAAGCAAATAAGTGAAAACGAAAAGAAACTAGAATATGACAGACACACAAAGAAACTCAATGAGTTAAACGTAGAGAAAAAGAAGAAAGAAGAACAACTGAAAGAACTAAGTACAGAGGAATATGCGAAAAAAGTGTCAGAAAAAGCAACAGAAGTAGCAAAAATGGAACAAGATGTCATAAATTTGAAAAACCATACTACTCAATATAAAATACTGAAAGATGAAGAGATAAAACAAAAAGCCCTGAAGACATATATGGATAGCGATGAGTATAAAAAAGAAGTTGAAGCAAATGTAAAGGCAGAAAAACTTTTACAGTTGCAAAACCAAACCGTACAGTATGAAAAACTTAGCACAAGAAAGTAAAAATAACGACGCAGCCATGCAAAAGGCAATGAAAAGCGCAGAATATATAAAAGCTAACAATGACTGGTTAGATGCCCAAGCCAACGCTAAAGCAGCCCAACTCATAGGGTCAATAAGGACAAAAAATACAAGCGGATGAAGACAGTTCAAATGAAGCTTTAACAAATGCTGACTTTAAGAAACGCCTTCGAAGCTCTTCATAGTAAGGTGAAACAAGTGAACGACTTCTCATCTGGAAAGAAACTGAAGTCTGAAGGTTTCGACAAAGAGTTAAAAGAAGTAGCACAAAATATGACGAAAATAACAGATGCAGCAACGAGACAGGCAGTTCAAAGTGCCTATGACGCCGTTAGAGCAACTGTTGTGAAAAGTCAAGAAAAAGAGTTACAACAGACCAAAACAGACCTAGTAAATGCTTTCTTAAAAACGAAAAGTCAGGTAGGACATTATGCTGCAGATGGAACATATGTGCCAGCTGGGAACTTATATACCACCAAACCCTCCAAGAGAAGCACCTGCACCAGGACTACCTAAAACATTTACATCGTCACATGGACACAGACACAGGCATGCACCAAAACCAACACAACAACCAACAGTTCAAAATCCAGCACAGCAACCAACAGTTCAAAATCCAGCACAACAACCAACAGTTCAAAACACTGCACAACAACCAGCACAGCAACCAACAGTTCAAAACCCTGCACAACAACAACCACAAACAGAGCAAGGACATAAAAGAAGTAGAGAACAAGGAAACCAAGAATTCTTAAAAATGCTTAAAGAAGAGTGTGGTTTCCCAGATAGTATTGACTTTAGTGACAGATATAAAGAAGCTATTAGAAAGTTCAAGGATGGAAATACTGACCCGAACCTATTTAGCTTTATGGCTCAGCACCAAAACGGATATAATCTCAAACCTGGAAAATACAAGCTCGCTAAGGGATATGATTTAATAGCATATCATCCAAATGACATGGATGAATTTACTCCGAGATATTTGATGTCAGAGCTAAATGACAATTCAACTTTCGTCATGAAACGCGTAAAAAATAGAGACGGAACGAAAGAACAAAAGCTTATGAATGCGGATGACGTAGATAGGGAAATTGTTGAAAACGGTCTCGGAATATATGAAATGCCAGCAGATGAGGTACAAGAAACTCCACAGGAAGAAGTTCAGATACAACAGACATGGAAGAAATAGTTTCAGCAACAACAGCTAGAAGAGCCTGAAGGAAACGAACAAGTCCTTCCTTTGGAAACTAACTTCACAGAACTAGAAGAAGATTTGGAACAGCCGAAAATCTTGACCCTCAACAAGAGTATGCGGAGAATATGGAATATTTCCAAGAGTCTAAAAAAATTCGGCTGACATAGTAGAAGAATATCGAAAAAATGTTTGCCGACATACAAAAGACTCCAACATCAGATGAAAATATCCAGCATAGAAATGGAAGAACTGAAAAAAAATGTACACAAATACAACAACCCTTTTTACTTACGAGCATTTAACGTTCAATCTTCGGATGAACTCGGTGAAGATAAAAGGTTAAATTTCAAGAAAACATATAGAAATGAAACATTTTAAAGTTCATTCAGAACCTAACCAAGATGGAAACAAACCTACTTTTGTTTCTGCAGACGATGGAACTACAATGAGATGGGGTCATAAAGCTAATCCAGATAGGTGGTTCATAAACTTACAACCACAATTCCAAGAAGTTGTAGACGCAATGGAATTGAATGGTGAACCAGATATAGCTGGTATTTAAGCGCGGCTTTAATGCCATTGAAAGATATGAAACATGCAGATATTTGGACCAGTAATGAAATGAACATGGCTGATGGAAATATAACACTGACGTTCTAAAACATTTATCTCAAAGAAACTACACAGAACCATAAAGATGGTATATTTGGTGAAGAGTTTAGAAAGACAGTTAGGTTTGTTGTTTATTAGAATTATATGACCTCAGGGTTTTTAGTCGTAATAGTATAAACCACTATGGTCTTCTGCCATTTACTAGCAATAAATTTTAATGAAATGTTGTGGTCGTCAAATATTTTTATGACGTCTGGGAAACTATATTTTAAGTTCAACGTTTCACCTTCCTTCATAACGTATATCTTGTCAATGACATTATATGAAACACCACAGCAAGCAATGTCGGGTTCTATTTTCTTTGATGTTTTATATCGTCTGC